TTTGGAGAAGGAGCAGTCAATCGACTGTCAGCCAGGAATTTTCCCCAATTTTACGGCAAATTATGGAGGAAGGCCAGAATAATGACGCATCAAGTGTTCAATATGATGTAAATATTATTCAAACATATATGAACAGTAAATAAGTGTTGCTTTCTTATTCATATGTTGAGAAATGATGTTATGTTTTCAGCATAATACATTCTTACTGTCTATACGCTACATGCTCCTAATCGCTCTTGCTTTATTTCTTTACCATTACGGTTAGCTACTCCTAGTGTTCCATTTATTAACATTTAAATAGCACATTTCTAAACATACATACAGGTATTAAATTTGTTAAAATTAAGGTCACTACAGCTACAAACAGAGTCTTACTTCTTTCAGTTTCTTATGAACCATAGTCACCAGAAAACAATGCCTTTGTCTCCTCGTGAGTTTTAATATTATACCGTGATATTTATGAATTGAATTGTTATTTCACATATACATTAATTCAATCAAATACATATTCAGTAATAAACAATAATGAATCTTGAACATATTCTAAAGATAAATGACGCGTATCCTTAAATGCCATCGATATGCTGACGTTCCCAATCCATCTCTACTTTTTTTTCTTTTGCCATTAGTGATTAGCTACTTTTATTGTTCCATTTATTACCATTAAATAACGTTACTTAAAACATATACAGTCATATGTCAAGTTAACGTCCGACCTAACAACGCCCGATCGTGATATAATGCGTCTGCAATCTCCGCCTCCCCAAAAGAAGAAGAAAAAAAACTTCCGTGACGCCTGCTGGATCACTCATCGACTTCTGACGGAGACACGCATGATCCTCCCTACACTAGTCAGGATAATTATGTGTTTGGCGAATATGCTTCCTTCCTTAGTTTTTTTTTTGCTTTTGCCTCCAGGTGTATTGTTAACCTACATCTATTGAGGATAAAATCTTTCTCCTACAAATTGACAATAACACATTTGCTGTAATCAGACATCTAGTTGTTTCATCACTGCAACTGGGCCCCCAGTTGCAATTGGGGTTGCAATTTCAAATTCTGTGTCATTACTAAGAAATAGCTAAGTCTCTGGTGCACTATAAGATTAAGAGAGAAAATGAGGGACTCAGGCGTCCTGAAGCAGAGAAAACGGACTCATATGACGGGGACTAATAAAAAAGCATAGCTAATGGTTTTGTGGACTACAGTATTGAGCGCATTCTTTTCATCACTTCTTTTGTAATAAAACCTAGCCATGCCTGTGTGTGTTGAAGATATTTACTATAACATTATATATTTAGTGGGTCTAAACGGTCGTGAAATGGAAAACTTGGGGGTTGGTCTTGGGTGCCTGGAACCAATTAGAATAACTCCCTTAGGTTCTGTACTTTCATTATCGTTTTTCGTTATCTCGCACTGGCGGGTCCCAATTAGGGCGCCGATAACTCAAGGGATGATTGTACCGTACTGTATATACTTGTAACACTGGCCAGTTGCTTCTGGTGTTATATATTAGGGGTACCAAGTGACAGCACTAGATCCCACTCTCCCTATCAAGGAATAAACACCAAAATTTAAATTGAAAAAAAAAAAAAAAACATTCAAATACGGATGTAGCAAACCCAATGGCCCTAGAGCGAAGTACACAGTCAATGCATGCATCGCTGTATTTATAGACTGTGCTGCTGGTATGACGTTATCTATGCGAATTTAGTCAATATTGTACAGTAACAATGGACCTATGCAAACCTGTATACATGTACTAAATGATTACGTACTAGAAATTGTTATGTCTATTGCAATATAGCTTGTTTATACAGGTGGTCTGGGAATAAATTACTATCTTACAAGAATCCCTCCAATGTAAGTTAAATTCACCCAGGTCGCTTTGGGTGGCAAATTATGAGAAGAGCTTAGTCAATTTTTAAGTAATGATAAACAAACACGCAGGCCGGCCTTCAGCGCCAACTGTCAAATCTGATCTCAAATAAATAAACAAACAAACGCCAGACATTCTGTCACCCCCGCCTCTCTTCCCTCCTTGTGTTCCTAGACAAAGATTAAGATTTTTTGTTTATTTTATATAATATCTCAGACTAAATTTAGGATAATATAATTTGCATTGCTGAAACTTGCAACATTAAGAGATTAATTTGAATATAAGCATCATATATTTGCTCAAAAATATAAAAATGTAGTACATTAGTGTCCAATACTGTAGTACATTTATAATATAAATTTTTCAACTGTATTTTTGGGTAGATTTACATAAATTTTTCATTTATTTTTTCATCCATTTACATGCACACACCATACTAAAAGAAATGGAAAAGAACAATGACCTTAGTGCAAAGCTGAGTGCACATATACTAATTTGATTACAGTACTAAAATTGCTATGTCTAATGCAAATTATAGCATGTTTATATTCAAATAAATCAGTATGTTACAAGAATCCCAGCGGTAAGTTAATTATATTCACCCAGGTCATGTCACTGGCTTTTTATAAGAGGAGTTTAGTCACTTAAGAACTGATAAAATATACAGGTACATCGCTGCTAGACCTGGGCCGGTGCCAACCGTCAACGCATTACCTCCCTCCTCCCTCCCTGAAGCCCCTCGTCAAGACTCCCCCTCCTCCCTCCCTCTCCCCATCTGCTCAGTTGTTGGAATCCTTGTAAAACAGTGAATAATTTAATACAAATGTCATGTATTTTTGCACAAGAGATAAAAATTAATCACCTGTATCACATTACAGTCGTGATTTAAGAGTAAAAGTGTATATGTACGCATAGTATTCCACATACACGTATAACAACGTCCATTTACGATTCATATCACTTCAAGAGCGTATCTAGGGCGTTAACTTGGTATATGACTGTGTGTGTGTGTGTGTGTGTGTATATATATGTATATATGTATATATATGTGTATATATATATATATATATATATATATATATATATATATATATATATATATATATATATATATATATATATATATATATATATTTATTTATTTATATATATATATATACATATATATATATATATATATATATATATATATATATATATATATATATATATATATATATATATATATATATATATTTATTTATTTATTATATAATATATATATATATATATATATATATATATATATATATATATATATATATAATATATATATATATATATATATATATATATATATATATACAGTGGGGTATGCTATAACGAACATGGTGGTTCAGAACCTATAGATTGGTTATGGGATTAATCCATTCAGGCCCCAAATACAACCACTTAACACTGAAAAAATTCTGTGTAGCAAATGTAAAAATACGGTACTATCTTACCTTAGTGTTATTCAGCATGCAGGTACCCTAAACACTGGCACATCACTTCCTGGGAGTCTTGGCTTTAAGGTCCTCAAACAATTGTTTAGCCTTCTCACAAATTATAGCTTCACTAATGTACCACCTGCCATTTCTTTCTCCTTTATCCACACTAAGGTAAATTTTCCATCTCTTCAATCACATTACACCTTGCTTTGCTAAGTCTAAAGATTCCCTTAGCCACTTGCACAGTTTTTAACTCCTCTTTATTCTTCAAATCATACATATAGTCGATTTAGCCATCATATTCATCACTAAGTTTGCAATGCTTCTTCCATTCTCCGTTTCTTTATAATTTCTTTCTTAGTTTCAAGGGTTATTAGCTTTCTCACTTTCGCTTTGGGCGACTCATTGTTACAATTGTATGCTTGTATAACAAAATAGTTATACAAATAACGCAATTTCCACATCAAAGACGAAATTTCAACAATAACAGTGGTGCACTGGCTACACAATGAGACAAAGATGGCGCCTGGCTCTTGTTGTGGATCGCGGTACAACAATATTCATCCTATCTCCTACAAGCAATGGATGAATACCGGACTATTAGCCTGGCGCATGAATATTGTTGTGCGGCCCACAACAAGGCGTCAGGCCCCTCTTTGTCTTATTGTGTGATGCAGTTGTTGAAATTTCGTCTTTTGATGTGGAAATTCCGTTATTTGTATAACTATTTTGTTATACAAGTATACAAGTAACAATGAGTCGTCAGCGGTGAAAGCTGTGAAACTAATAGAAAAAATTATAAACGTGAAAAAATAAAAAAGTTAAGAAGCGAGCGAGGTTTGAACCAGTGTATATATATATATATATATATATATATATATATATATATATATATATATATATATATATATATATATATATATATATATATATATGTGTGTGTGTGTGTGAACAGTACAGTGCAAGGGAGTTGCTGTGTGGTGAGGAGCTTGTTGAGTTTCCCTTCTCACCTCCATCCTAGGTGCGAGATCTCCTACGTGTACATTTGTATGTGAGCCTAACAATGAGAAAATAGATAACTGGCCACATACGATAATCTACAAGTGTTGTGTAATTGTGTTGTAGGTTTATTATTAGTGTAGGATTTTTGTTTTATTCCAGTGATACTTGGGTGTCTGTCCAGCAGGGAACGTATCCCATTAAACCCTATGTTATGATCCCGATTTACTATATTTCAACCTGCGATGGGCTTTTCGGGAAACTAGCCCCATCATAAATAAGAATACAGTATACCTGTAACTAAAAGCAGCATGGTCCTGTATACAAGGTGAGTATAAAACCTTAGTGAAAACAACCATGAAAGTAACCAAACATTGTTTAACTTTATTTTACAGTAAATAAGTTATAGATAAGGTTTGGTTTGATTAGTTTGTTTTGTATGTTGTAATAAACATCTTGTTCCCATAGTTTACAGGATTATGACACCATTAGTTATGCCTACTTTAGCTTAGATTTTTATTTTCCTTTTTTCACAGTTCTAAAAAGAAGGTAAATTTTGTTCTTCTAAATACAAATGATTCTTATGAATGGTTTTTGCTTAGAAATTTTGTTTCATCTTAACTGTATAAAGAATGTTACTAGACAGGAGTTGATGGAACTTTTATGCTATAAGAGTTAATAAGGAAGACTATCTAATACCTGTGTGGAGTCCTGGCCTGGGTATTTTGGTCGACCTTCAGCAGTGAGGACTTCACCTACGGCAGCTTCTCTTTCTTTCACTTCATATTTATGGAAAGAAGGAGCCTTTAAGTACCCATGGTCATGTGACACCACTTGCTGCATTGGAGGATTTGAGACTCTCTCAATTTCATCCTAAATAATAAATGAAGGAAATCTGTTAATCATACCTTAAATCATCAATACTTTGAACAAATATTAAATACACATTTTCTTCAAAGTAATTTTTTTTCCAATGTTATAAATCAAACCATAGCTAAAAATTCTAGATTGTTTTCATGAAATACAATTTCTCAAACAAGCAAATAGACAGACAAAAAAAAAGAACAAACCTTTGTCTCAATTTTAAGATCTGAGTTGTTATTGTTGTCATTGGTGGCTGATGTTCCAGATTCAAGAGTTTTCATTTTTTTTGTACGAACTCTTCCCTCACGTGTACTTTCTAATTTTCTCTTTGGCTTGGATGTAGTGACTGTAGTTTCTTGAACAGATTTTACATCAGCTATATGCACTGCATCTGTTCTTGATAGAGGGGGTCCACTTTTCTTGCTATCTTTATTTACTGTTACCCACTCTTTCTTTTTAAAAATTTCATTCTCTTTCTCTGGAGTAACAGTGGACACTTTCTTCATTTTACTCGAGTTATCCCCAATTTGGGTCACCGATCTTTGGGATCCTACAGATTTGCAGCCACGGTTATTCACTGCTGTACTTCGTTTTCGTGACCCCGAACTCTCTTGCTGCACCAAACGTCTGTTTCTTGCCGGGACAGACTCAAGCACATAATTCTGGCGACTCTGAGTACCTAAAACATATCATAACATTAAGTCCATCTGGTTGCTATCAGAACAAAGACAAAATATTCAAAACAGTAATCATAATTCAGAAGTAACCTGTAAGTTAGGCTCCTGTGGCTACTGTTATCTTATGAGAAAAATGGGATTGGGTTCCAAGGGTTGTCTTTAATTACACATATCACAAACATTTTTAACAACTTACAATAATAAGAAACCCTGTACAAAAGATGACAAGAAAACATTAAACACATAAAGGTTTATCCTCTCTTATGGATGATAGAAATACCAATTAATAGAAGATTGATATTTTATGGCACATTAGCCTAAGCTACACTTAACCTTATGCCCCATAATGTTATCAATTTCTTTGTACTGTATACAAGTTTAATGCATCATAGTGAATCAATTTAATGAATAAACAAGCAATGTGATGACTGTATATTAATTAATGTATAATAAATTAAATAATAAAATAAGAAATCATACCACTCATAATCCGATGTCTTGCAATATCATGTTATTCCCATAGATATGCCTCTCGAAATAATGTTTTTCATACAACACTAAGATTGTTAAAAAATAATGGGGTGCATAAATTCAATTTCATTGTCATTTGTCAACTTTCCATCGTCACTACCAAACTGCATTAACTAGCCTGCACATCCTTCATAACTATCCCACAAATTGAGGGGTGGCTAAACTGTAATTTAATGTAACTGAAACTTTTGCCTCATGATCAGACGTATAGTTCATTTTCTCTAAAAGTTCTTGGTTGAATAACATCAAATTTTAACACCACTCTCCTGCATGGAACAGAGTTTTAAGGCTGGGTGGCAACCCGTCTACATGGGGGTAGATCACGTGGCCTCCAGACAAACACAACAGTTATGCATCTGGCTCTCAGAGAGAGAGAGAGAGAGAGAGAGAGTGTAATAACAATAATAATAATAATTAACGGTTTATTGAAAAAATTCTGCAGCCCGAAGGCTGAAAATATACATTGGACATAAATGACTTATTACATACATTGGTGGCTTAACAAAAGCCTTCATTAGAGAAAGGTAAAGGAACATACAGTGAACATACAGATTAATGTAGGTGTTGAACAGCAAAGTCGTAGTGTAGTAACTCCCTCCCAGATGGTGTTTGGAGGAACTCACGTGGTGTAGTAGTTCCCTCAGATGGTGTTATGAGGGACCTGGCGTGGTGTAGTAATTCCCTCGCAGATGGTGTTATGAGGGACCTCACGTGGTGTAGTAATTACCTCACAGATGGTGTTATGAGGGACCTCGCGTGGTGTAGTAATTACCTCACAGATGGTGTTATGAGGGGCATCACGTGGTGTAGTAATTCCCTCACAGATGGTGTTATGAGGGACCTCACGTGGTGTAGTTTACCTCACAGATGGTGTTATGAGGGACCTGCGTGGTGTAGTAATTCCCTCACATATGTGTTATGTAGTAATTCCCTCACAGATGGTGTTATGAGGGACCTCACGTGGTGTAGTAATTACCTCACAGATGGTGTTATGAGGGACCTCACGTGGTGTAGTAATTACCTCACAGATGGTGTTATGAGGGTCCTCACGTGGTGTAGTACTTCCCTCACAGATGGTGTGATGAAGGATCTGGCGTGGTGTAGTAATTCCCTCACATATGGTGTTATGAGGGACATGTGGTGTAGTAATTCCCTCACATATGGTGTTATGAGGGACATGTGGTGTAGTAATTCCCTCACAGATATACGAGGGCCTCACATTGGTGTAGTAATTCCCTCACTTGTGGTGTTATGAGGACATGTGGTGTAGCCAATTCCCTCACGAATGGTGTTATAGGGGACATGTGGACAATAATTCCCTCACAGATTGTTGTATATGAGTGAGGTTTGGTCTTAAGCCTTCCTATAAATGAAGCGGATTAACACATAAGCTGGATTTGTTATTGGTCTCATGGGCGTTATCACCGGGTACCTGGGACCTCACTGTGTGAAAGAGTTAACTTGAAATACGGCTATTTGCTGTTGAGTTGTTCTCACTGACTTAGCACTGTTCACCAATGTTCACCTCTGTTTAACACTGGTTCGTTCCTTTCTAAATAGAGTGTAACTTCTGGCGAGAACTTGTTGATATTCCAGTGGGGAAGAGAGTTCAGGGAGGGGGTTGGTATAGGCCAACTTAACAGTTGACCTGGCTGCTCCAAGAGGCCAGGCGTCTTGACCGATTGGTCAGGAATATGGTGTGTGTGTGTGTGTGTGTGTGTGTGTGTGTGTGTGTGTGTGTGTGTGTGTGTGTGTGTGTGTGTGTGTGTGTGTGTGTGTGGCCTTTCACGCTGGGCGTGAATTCAATATCGCGAAGTCGTCTTGTGTCTCTGTAATAAGCCGTGTTAAACTTGGACATACGTTGTTGATCGGCAGAAACTGGACGGTGATTATAAGATCATCAAGATGCGTCTTAGTGATGTGAAAGTATAAATCGATGTAGGATTTTTAATGCACAAATAGCGACTGTATTTTTGAAAACTCAATCTCACCGAGTTGTAGGTACAGCCCAGGTCAGGCTACAACCACAAAATCATTGCCATGACAAAACTTTAATTTTATTTTTTTCACAGGACTTGGTCACGGCTGTGATAAGGCCAACCAGGAGTGTAAGTACTGTGCCTTTAGTTAAATCAGTTGATAGTGTCATCAGTGACGAACAGAAGGTTGCAAATAAGTTAAAAGTGAATACAAATTGGCAAACAAGCTGGTGGGCACCACTGCCTGCAGAGACCAGAGTCGTGTTATGGGTGCCACAGAGACTTTAGAATTTTATTTTTGATTGTGTGCTTTCTCATGGACCAAACTATTACTTCCTGGCCACACCATTCACAGGGAATGGTATACTGTACACAGTGATAGCACAAAAGAGATATAGTCGTCGATGAGAACAGGAAAAGTACACTATAAAGGAAATAATAGTTTAAAATAAAAATAAAAAAACAAAACTGGCTATCCTAAGGGCATTCTATGACTACCGCAAAAAGTTTTATTATTTCTATATGTTTCTAAAGGACTGGTGGGTGTATAAATCTTATTTATTCATAGCTAAATGCAGTGTACGCCTTAGAGAATAGTGTAGTGGATTTCTTCCCTACAAGCGCTGTTTGTCTGAGTAGCCCGACCCATAAATTCCCTACAGTAGTGTGCCTCGTGGTCTCGGTCAGCCAGCGCCACCATGGAGGTTAACTATCTACCCACGCCTGCCTCCGCTATAAAGGCCTGACCTCATATTGTTAACCGCTCTCTTTTCTACTTACACACCAACCATGCTTGCCTCCTCCTCCACCTCCTGCCTGGCGGCCTCGCCACCACCCGGCCCCGAGCATGGCGACCCACAAGCTTGTCCTCATCTGAGCATCCTCACCCAACCCAGCTCCTTCCTTCTTCTTCTGGCCGCAGCAAGCAACACCACCTCCTCTGCGCTGCCTGGCAGCCCTCGCTCCCTTGGCCGGGCATGGCGACCCTGGCTGGTCCTCCTCTGAGGCATCTCACCAATCAGCTCTCTCTACATCACGCTTGCTAACCACGCTGCCCACTTCCCAGCCTTGCAAGCTGCGACTTGTACATCAATACAATATGTATACAGTGAGCACATTGTGAGTTTCCTTTCTCCATCCCATCCTGAGTGAAAACCCAAACATCCCACTTACCCCACAAATGGTGACCCCAGATGACCACTCACACAGGATGGAGGAGAAACCGATCACTCTCCCAATCCCCAAAGCAACATGGAAGACTGAAGCACATCTGAGGGGCAGCTCTCGCCGGCTCCTGCAACTGTCTCCTACACACCCAGGTTAGACACCCCCTAGAGCAACATTGCTCCTCTTCCTGCCCAAGCACCACGTCCTACAGGCCCCAACACACAGTCCTGCCTCAGGCCGCGCCCGGCCAGCAGTACCCCTGCACGCTTCTCCTGATGCAGCCTGCTCCCAGCAGCCCCATGTGCCTGAAGTCTTGGACCCCACACCCCTCTTTCTCCTGGAACCCCCTGCTACTGTCCTGCACCCCTGCTGCTGTAGGCGGGCCCAGCTGCTGTCTGGCCCCTCATCCTTCTGCTGGCGCGGCCTGCTCCCCTGACCGAGGCCCACACACCCCGAGCAGGCATCCCCTGGCGACTCTGTACCTGCCGTGAAAGAGGCACAACATTCCACTAGCCTCCCACACACCCTTTTCTCCCCTCTCTGCTCCCACAGATGTGTCGCATACAGACAGTTGTCTCCTCAAGCAGCCGGCTCATCCACGCCATCACGCTATGGCTCACATGTGGCATACACGCCCATTCTCTCTCACATGTGCCATGCGCCCTACCCAGACAACAAGTCTCCCCGCCTGGAGGAAGGAGGGGAGTATTACCAATGGATTTCTCCCCTACTTTGTTTTGTCGCTGAGTAACGACCCCTTGGAATTCCACAGTGTTATTGCCTGTTGGTCTAGGTCAACCCAAGCGCCCCCCCACGGGCCGGTCAGCCTATCTGCCCACGCCTACCTCCACTATAAAGACCTGACCTCGTGGTGACCTCTTTTCTACCTACACCAACCAGCAAAAGCAACACCTCCTCCTGCCTCCTCCTCCGCCGATGCCTGGCAGCCCTCACTCCGCTTGGCCCGAGAATGGTGACACAAGCTTGTCTCCTCTGAGCACCCTCACCAACCAGTTCTCTCTTCTTCCTAGCTACAGCGCAGCAAGCAACACCACCTCCTCTGCTGCTGCCTGGCCCTTGCTCCCGCCAGCGAGAATGGTGACCCCTAGCTGTCCTCCTCCCAGAGCACCCTCACCAACCAGCTCTCTCTTCTTCTAGCTACAGCCGCAGCAAGCAACACCACCTCCTCTGCTAAGCTGCCTGGCGACCCCTCGCTCCCGCCCTGGCGACCCATAGCTGGTCCTCCTCTCTGGAGGCACCCTCACCAACCAGCTCTCTCTATATCATGCTTGTAGCCACTCTGCCACTTCCCAGCACCAAGCTGCACTGTACACCTAATACAATATGTATACAGTGAGCATATTGTGGGGATTTCCTTTCTCCATGCATCTGAGTGTGAA